CCCCCCCAGGAAAACATGTCCCTCAGAGGCTGTTGACCTCAGACCTTGCAGAGACCTGCTTCACCAGGCAAGTGCCTTGGTTGGTCAATTCTTAAGGTATATGGAAAAAAAGTATTATTTCTTTACTAAAAACATTCAGTTTCCCCTGTTCTGGCTTGGCAGGAAAGCTACCAAGATTGTTAGCGCTTTTTTCTTTCCTCTCTCTTTCTCAGAGAGCATATAGGTATGTAAATATATTCAGCAGTATCCTAAAATCAAGTGCGGTTTATGGTGACAGCACAACTGAATGTGGCACAGCTGAGTCTAGCTGTAATTTTGCTCTACCAGCTGAGCTGATTTGTGACTCCAAAGTAGCTGCTTGCTCAAAATAATGCTGTATTAACACCTGCTGCGTGAAATCGTGGTGAGATATTCCCCAGTTCTGTTTTAATCTTTCCACAGAATATATCTTGTCAATTTGTATGTTGCTTTATTTGATTTTTATTTCTTTTAGTAATTGTTTGCTTAGGTTTGTCTCATCCTGATTTTTACAAGCTATAGTTACTAAGTACTAGAGGTTATTATGTATTCTTTATGCAAATAAGATTATGTTCACAAAAATTAAAAATTAATAAATCTTGCTTCTTCAAAGCCATGTTTTCTGAAGACGCCATCTGTCAATTCTCTTATTTCTGCTTTTTATGTATGTCTGCACTGTTATTTGCAAGTCCAGTTTCAGTATGCTAACTTTAAAGTACCTAGGTAAAATGTAGCAGTGTAGCAGCTCAGGATTTAGGATGGGCTAGTAAGCTTATACTGAAGTCCTCAATGCTGTGCAGTTATTGTTGTTCTTCATATATGCTTAATGCTTGCTGTGGGTGTGCTCTCCGAATGCAATATACCCATACCCGTCAGCTGTGCGTGAAGGAGGTGCGGAAAAAAAAACCCGTAGGATCCAGCGCGCTGGATCAAATCCGTTCTCAAAGCCTCGTTCGCAACCTCTGACAGTGGCCGGTACCCACTGCTAGCAAAAAGTAGGAAGTAAAAGGTAATTTCTGATGAAAGAAAGGTCTCAGGTGTTTCCGGCATTTAAGAATTTGTCGTATTTGTGGGGCGCTCTCTCTGTGTTTCTCTTAAATGAAACCAAAACTGCTAAATTCATGCTTTAAATATTTAAATGCAAGCAAATATGCATGCGGGGGTGGGTTTCAGAATAAATATGCTCCATTTTGATAGGCTTATATTGCTAAAGGTTGAGTTCTGTTATCAGTCTTATTAGAAACCTACAGATGCAAATGAAACTAATTTATTTCAGTTCTTTATACCACAGCAGGAAATTTTAAGGAGGTGAAGCTTTCATGTGGCTTGTGGTCTTAATAAAAATGAGAAACATAGGAATAATCTTTAAAACATTCAGTGCTTTTCCAATGGTTTCATTTTATTATCTTTTCTCAGTAGTACTTTACTAGTCAGAAAGAAATTTGCTTATCTTGGAAAACACACAACTTATGCAAAGTAAGGAGTATTTTTAAGGAAGGAGAATAATGCTTCTCCTAGTAAAAGACAACAGGCAAAAGGTATTACAAGCTCTGACTTGTACCCTGGACTGCTACTACAGTCTTCATTTTTATAATTTTTTTCAAGCAGAGGCGTTGGTTGCCGGTGCTGCACCAAAAAGAAAACACTAGGAATAAAAATGTAGTGAAAAGGTAGTTGTTATCCAGTTCGCTCCCAGCCCAGCCTTGAAAGGACATATCGTTATCCAACCTATCTTTAAGTTGTTGAGCAAATTGTACCATGCCCTCAAAGTCGATAAAATGTTGAAGAGCTGCTCTTAGTAATTTGTATTTCTCAGCAGTACTGCTTGTATATTATTTTCTAGTTTACTGCTCAGGCACCAAGAAAGCCTCTTAGAAAAGACTTTTTTTCACTACACTTGCACATTCCCTCAGTAGTGGGTCCTAAGACTCTAGCCTTTCTCAAAGTATATTAGCATTTGGTACTTCCCTGATGAACTTGGAAAAGTTCAAATCCTACAGAAAAGAAAGGGGCTATTCTGACTTTGGCTAGCTAGCAACAAGTATTTAACGCATCATGGCAAACACAGGACTGTGTCTCATTTCCGTATCGATCACGGCATGGGATACTGTTCCAGCTGTGTTGTGTGAAGTACATTGAGAGTCTTCATAATAGTTTGCAAATCTGAAAAACGAAGAGATCATGCATCCACACTAGTATGCGTCTTCATGCCCCTTCCAGTGTTATCTGTATGTTTTTCCAAGAATAAAAGCCGTTGTTGTAATAAAGAAATTGCTCCTTATGGTTCTCCTTTTTTTATGTAAACCTGCATGCAACCAAGGTGAATTGTTTATACTTAGCCAGGGAGTAGGGGGAAGGGTATCTACCTTTTTAAGGCCTGTAAATTCTTATTTTCTTATGCGAGCGAATTAGTTTTGAGTTGTCATTAATCACTCTCAGAATAATGAAGGACAAGCGAGATGATTTTGTGTTCAGATAGGTAGTCTGAAATGTTCTTTGCAATCTAAGCTGCATGGTTTTACAAAGCTAAACTGCATTCCTCTCTGCTTCCAAGCATTTTGGGGCCGATTCAGTTTGTTGGAGGATGTTTACATTCTGTAGTCATCAAGAGCCCTCATGCAAATAACTCTGATCCCAGTCAAAGTACTGTGCTGCAAAGTCCAGTTATCATTCAGTTAGGCCAAATGGAAAGGAGAATTCCCTGGGTTCCCCCACCCCCCTCACCGAGCAGTCCTTTTGTTTCATTTCAAGCAAGTGGCTGTAGTTTAAATGTGAACTGAAATTGAAAATTAAATTGTGTGTTGTTGTTGCTTTTAACGTGAGAAGAAGGCCCATTGTTTTTGTTATTCTTTTTAAATTTTGCAGCTGATACTTTTTAACATTCCAAAGTGGATTGTAGAACTGTGCTAATTTTGATGGGAGTGCTGCTTTGATGTGGACTACTTTTCATTCTTTAATTGGAAAGCAGGGTGGGCTTATGCCTTCCTTTAAGAAAACTGCCTCACAGTTAAATGACTAAAAAGAGGGGGAAATTCCTAAATATAAACAAAAATGACTTCTCAAAATTTAATCCATTTTCAATTATTGCTTCCCCCACCCCACCCCCCATTAACAGTCATCCTATTAATTTGGCACTGTTCTCAAAAAGCTACTACTATAGACAAGAATTTCTTTTATAAAAACCAGAGACAGAGAATTAAAAATTTAGACCTTTTTTATAATTATAAAGAGAAACAAAAAAGTAGCCTGAATCTACAGAGAAGGAAGGGCAGCTTTTAAATTATGTAGTGCCTGAAATACATGGTATAGAGGGTTGATTTTTTTGCATAAAAACATTTTTAAAAGGTTGAGGAAATATTTTATTTTTGTATAGCCAACTAAATGTAATGGAGCAAGATAAAGATCGAAGGAAATAATTTAATACAAATCTCATCAACTTGCTGTTGAATGACGTCAAATTACTACCGGTTGCTATTTTAGGAGAGATTAAGTGTCTCTGGTAGAGTCTGATTCTTAAAGCCTTTTCTGACATGCAGCTTAGGGGGAAGTTCTTGTCAATGGTGGTTGTATGAGAAGGCTGAAGGTCTTCCTTAGATCATTTAAGACTAAGCCTCCTGTAGCCTGCCGGTTAATTTTACCAACTGGAAAGAGTACTGTTGCTAAACCCATGCACTTGAAGGCAAGACTCCTGAGCAGCTTTTTTAGGACTGTTGGCTAAGTTGCCAACAAGTGGTTGCATTCAAACCACCAAAGATGTGTTCAGGGGCTGTTCTGGTTGCACCTGAAGAAATAATAACCCACAAGTTTGCAGTTCTAAATATTTTGTTGGAAAATATTCCAAACAAAGTTGAGATAAGAAAAATTTTTCCTCCTTCAGTGAGAGAATTTTAAAATTGCTGTATTTCAGTAATGTGCTCCTTGGAGCCATTGCTTCTTCACTTTCTAAAACAGATGTAAGAGTAGGTTACTGCCTCTACTGAAACTTAAAATGGCTTATCTATGAAAGTCTATATTGATTTTTTTTACTTGAAGAGCACCTACTTTTAGTTCCTAGTCTACACAGCTTGTGTCAGCTGTACTGTGGAATGAGCTGACTCAGAAATAACTGCTTGAGGTAGTGAGGGGAATATATTCAGCACTCACTTGCTGTCCAGAGCCAAATAAGTTAAAATAAACAGCTTGAGCCTTAAGCACCACTAGTCCAGCTTCTCTACAATTCAGTAGAAGAAGCAATTGGGAGAGAGACTTAAGAGGCAGAGATTCCACTTTCCCTCTATACATCTTGCCAGTATTGATATATATTAGTAAAGATACAGTGTTTGGGGGAGTGGCCTTATGTGTAGCCAGAAAGACTGTGCAGAAGTTTCTGTTGAGAGGATGTTTGTGTGAAATGTATGGGTATTGGGAAAGTCATCCGTGGTAAGTGAGTAGGTAGATGCAAATAACTGGAGTTGTGTGCAGGGAGGAAGAGAAGGTGAGAGTCTATGTATTTCTTATTCATTTCTTGCTGCTGCTGACCTCAGCACCGCTCTTTGGTATTTCAAGAAGCGTATATGAGCAGAAATGAAGGCAAGCAAATGTGGTGAGTTGTATTAAAGATAAGCGGGCAGATAAAGATTGAGGGTGTTTTATTTTAAGGAGCATGAAGAGGGGGAGACAGAGCTCTACAGCCCTGAAGGCTCTTCAGGGAAACTTGCTTCATTTGGTGTGGTACTAACAATTGGTGTGTCACTTTCAAGAGTGTCCCAAGCAAGCAGGGATACAGGAAGCCTTTCAAGTGTCAGTGTGATAAACCTTTGTCTTCCAAAGGTGCTGGGCAATTAAAGCATCTGTGTGTCCCTTTGCAGCAGTGTATATTTCTAAGGAAATACTTAACACTTAATTGGATGCAGGTGGTATTAGCATCTTGGTCTATTCTAACAGAGCTGATGCAGCAGTGTGGAGATGTGATTATCAGCTACCAGTTTCTTGCTATTTGCCTGTATTTTGTCCGAAGTGGTCAACCTAGAGATGACAATGTGACATAGTAGAGATTAGTAGAGTGATGATGGTACTTAGGGAGTGAACATGTAGGCACTGAAGATCTCAACGCTCTGCCTGAGCGTATAGTTGTGGAAAATGGATGTCCCAGAAAGATATATTTGTATGAAACAGGAGCTTTTCCAAGACTGTACATATAGAGGAATGAAGTGTATTTGTTGAAGATGTTGATTTGGGGAGGCACCGCAGCATGCCTAGAAGTCCAGACCCTCAGCACCAGGGAACTGACGCTCAGAAAATTTTCAGAACACTGGTAGCCTCATGGCTTTAACTATGGCAGTATAGCTGTACAGCTAGCTACGTGGAGAAATGCTATAGCTCCTTGTGTAGGATGCCTTTCCTATGTGAGAGATTTCTACAAAGTTTTGGTGCCTTTCATTCATTAGTACCTATGAAATAAGTTTTGATTTTGACCTACTTTAATCACATTCCTTGATGAGTCACTGGTGTTCCATCTTTAGGAAAAAGTACTCTTTCCAAATATTAATCGACATTTTAATAGTCGGACTATGACACAGTTGCTTGTGGAAAACTGTAATTAGTGAAAATCATGACTGTAGTTACAGAAATAGTAATCTCAGTTCAGGTTGAGATACGTGTTAGGATACCCTAGTTTATTGCGTCACTTCGTTATTTCATTAAGATTTTCACAGCGGAAGCCCAAAAATATAGGAACAACGAAAGGAATCTACCATTCATTCTCAGTAAGTTTTCTCTGTTCTTGTGGAACTTAATAATAGAACTTACCCTTCCGCTGTAGTGTCAGAATATACCAGCTTCCGTTTGACTACTGATGCACAAGGTGGCTCCCACAAATGAACCAAAGCCTGGAAAAAGCTCTGCAACTGGTATGAGGAAAGGTCTGGATAGTAAGTGCACCTGTCTTGCGGAAAACATGGTATTTTTAAATTAAGAACAGCAGTTGAGCATGCTAGAATCGTGCTAGGGTAGTGCATTACAGGTTTGCACTAAAATCCCCATGACTTGTATTCTATGTAAGTCTTACCTGACCTTATCAGCTGATACTGATGTTTTATGTCAGCCCCATAGGACAAATATTTTAATTGTGCTATGGGCACAGCTTCAATATGACAGTTGTTATTATCTTTTCCCAAGGTTAGTTTAATTCTACTGGTTTCATAATATTCACAGCTGTGATTCATTTCACTTCCTGGTTGCAACAGGAGCAATTTAGCAGTATGTCGCAGATCATTTTATTTTGCTTATGTCTCCAGCTGTAGTTTAATGAATGTTAGCGCTGGCAATTCATTCTGATTTTTGCAGACGAGAAATGCATATAAAACAACGAATCTAGTGAGAGAAGCCTGAAAATATTCTGTTTCTTTCAAGCTTTTCCTGTGTTTCCAGCTGAAGGATGTAAAATGCATAGTAGAGAAGGCAAATAAAATATAAAATGCGTGACATGATTCCTGTGTATTCAAATGGACATTAGTCACTCTAAAAACAGCTAAAACCCAAATATTCTTGTTCCTTTATTCACATAAGTGATGTAAAATAGGTTTCTCAAAAGTACACTATCTTAGCCTAACAGCAGTGATGTGTTGTGTACTAGCCAATATTCTTGGTAATATAAACTCGTTATACTCTTTATAAATGGACCGCCCTTAGAATATGTCAAATCCAGCAGACTGTCCTATCCCTGGTAAATATCTGGTAAATATCCCCAGTTAAAGTATCTGAATGCTGCTTTTTTTTTTTTTTT